GGGGGGGGGAAGAAACAACTAACAAAGGTCCAAGAGCTTCAAAACAGAGCAAATCACAGAGCAGGGCACCTTGAATACTAAAGCAAAGGACAGTGCCCCCCATCTGCCCGTGCAGCCCCCAGCACAGCAGCGTTACTGGAAGCCATGAAAATTACAGAGGAAGAGGAGGGGAGAGTATGGAGCAGGCAGAGGACGCCTCATCGAACACCCGGCTGTGCATCTGCCCCAGGAAATCCATCCAGCAGCATTCCTCGCCGTGAGAGCCTACACGCTCCTGGCTTCAGAGCGAGCAGCCCCTGCCACCACCCTGAGCCAGGATCCTCCTCCAAACACATCACATTTTCCCAGTTACACCAGTCCGCAGCATCCACAACCCCATCATCTGCAGCAGCCAGATCCCCGAGGGACACCCCACCACCAGGAGCTCCAGACAGACTCCTCTCCTCTCCCAGCCCACCGGGCTCTGCCGCTCCGCGCCTTGGGGCACACGAGCCCCAGGGGCTCAGCCATCAGCCCCCTCCAGCGCAGCCTCCTCTCACCCCTGGTCCCACAGGCACCACCAAACCCTCAGGGCTCCCCTGGCCCATCCTCACACTCCCAGTGTGTCCCACATCCACCACAGCCCACTGTAACGTCTCAGCCCATCCCCTTGGCCCCCAATTCCCATCCAACGTGCTTCCTCCTTTGGCCCACACCTCACGCTGCCGTCCTCAGCCCCTCTGCATTCACAGCACTGCAGCCCCATCCGTGTCCCCAAGGCTCCAGCCCACACCACCAAGCCCCTGGGACCTCTGACATCCCCTTTTCCCCTGGCCAGAGCCCCCGGGACCTCCAACGTCTCCTTATCCCACAGCCCTCTCACCCACACACTCCACCCCAAGAGTGGATTCAAAGCCTTCCAGCTGCCCCCCTGCCCTACAACCCCTCATTCCCCCAGCCCACATCCCTAGCCCCTTGCCCCACAACCCCCAGTTCATCCCCTCCAGCCCCACTCCTCCTGCCTCCTCCCCCCCCAACACAACCCCATAGCTCCAACCCCATTCCCC